CTCCAGATAACCATTAGCTAATAAAACTGAATGTATATGTCGAAACTCCTCCATCAATGTGTCACTCGTGCATATTTTTCGGGCCCTTGAGAATAAACATTTCACTAGGGAACGTTTATACTGGATAGGAACAAAACTGGTAAAATGAAGATATTGTCCACTCCATGTCTGTTTACGAAAAAATAGGTCGTTGAATCGTTCCATCATCTCTTCTATTTATAGTAATATCCAGGAAACCAAGTTTGTTATTCGATTCTAGTTTGGAAGTCACTCGGATATTTGGATGATTATGATTAAATAGGGTAATAAAGTTTTCAATAGATTTACTATTATTACCAATAATGAGAGTATCATCTACATAACGTTTGTACAGCATAAATTCTTCAGGCATACCTTGCATTTGTCTTTCCAATTTCGACATGAAAATATCTGCCCAAGAGAGCTACCCATCGCCACACCATCGATTTGTTTGTATGCCTTTTCTTGGATGGTGAATCTAATATTTTCTGTACATATTAAGATTATGTGCCTGATGTCAGTTACAGGAAAAGGTAAGTCCATCTCACTGCTTGTGATGTAATCGCAAATGAAATGATCAAGTTAGTAAACTTTATTTTGATATCATAACAGAAGTACTATTACCTTTGTTATTTGGTTTAGTGATCTTCATTGTTATTTTGACTTTCAATATGTCCCTTTAACTTGACCTAAGTCTGTTTTCTCACCTCTTAACTCTTTGTTATATGTATGCTGAGATTTTGTTAATTCCGGTTTAATAATACTTTGATAAAGGTATTAGCAGCATTAAATAGCGAAACGTCAGTAAGAGCAACAATATCGTTTTGTTCTTCATTCATTGGAAAATACAAAAACCTTTATTATAATGAGTAAGAATGTATGTAAAATAATAACGATGATATGGTGTAAAATTACTAGTACTATTGATAAATGATTGTCAAATAATACTAATGAATATAATGAAGTGAAATGAACAGGATTTTGTAATTAAGATATGATTTCAATTTACTTTACTGGTTATTGTATGCGTATATTTAGTTCCTTTGATAAATTTCGACAAAGAAAGGAAGACGAAATTTGCAATAAAAAATGATATCATCCTATTTCACAGGTTCTCATCAGCTGCAGACTACCTGATATTACAATGGTTATATAGATGATAATAACACTCATCAGTGTTTGGGTGGTAGTGGAGAAGAGATACTATAAAATTGTCGCATCCAAGATGAAAGCATTACAATTTTTAGTTTAAGATTTCATCATCAATTTATTCGCTATCAAAGTTGATAAGAAGGGGAAGAGGTAAGACAGAAAACAGAAAAAATCGGCTGACAGGACAGTGTTAGCTTGTAGGTTCACACAGCAACTCAATAAACAAAAGCGGTTACAGTTTGTGAGATTAAGATTTGTTCAGTAAGTTGAGATCACTGATTTACATGACTAATCAATATAAAAATTCTGTTACTGTACCAAGGGAGTGAGAGGTTGGTCACACTCTCTTTTTGTATGCATAAGTCTGGTTTAAATCGTTTGATTACGATATCTTCAGCGAATCGTAGTAAATTTGCTGTCCTTTGTCTATTTAATATTTTGAAGGACTTAAATCTCTACAAGATGTCCGGTATCAACAATATGTCTGGTAATTACACTCTGAGAATGTTTTCTTCCTTTCAGACACAGGTTTTTTGGAATGTGTTCAGAAAACCGGATAGAAGCTTTTCTTTCCTTCCTACCAATGTACTTGCTCCCTCAAGTGCACGTAAATTCATAAACGCAGTTGGAGGTGACATCAGCAGCCTACTTATCCAGTTTCGAGTGGCTTACAGAAGATTTATAATTGTAAAGCCAGAAAAAGAATTTATTGAAAACAATTGTTTCTATAACTACTTTTTTCTAAGAGAAAATAAATCGTTTCTAGAGCCCTTGTAATTTCGCCTAATTGTGGTATCTGAGTTCACAACACTTTGGTGCAGCCTCGCTTCAGCAACCTAAACATTTTACGACTTCCATTCTAGTGGTTTTTATACTATTCATCGTCTGTTTACACTGAGACCAGATGAAAGAACTACAGAGGCAGTCAACATATGACGCCCAGTAATGGAACGAAGTACAGTTTTCACGGTAGTATGTTTTTTGCACTATGACTCCACGAAACTAGGTCTGAGGGATAATGGCACTCAGTTGCTGATTTCCTTGTAATATATATTTCACTACCGAAATCACTGACAAACATAATGCAACTCAATTTCAAACTATTCCAATTCTACTTTCCATGTGCTTCGGTCCCAACCGAAAGCTGCTATCTTGACGTGGTGGTCAAGCTTGAACACCGCAATGTCCCAACAAGCTATACTGGCTGAGACTTATGTCTCTTGAGGTCCTATCATGCCAGAAAGGTTGTTTGGATAGTGGTTAGACAAAAAGCAGCTACCCAATCCAATACTATGATACAAGCAAACTCACGAAATATCATGCCGGATCGGTCGAGGCCCGGATTAACAACGATCGCGCTTCCTGCTGCCGTGTCACAGGGCAGAAGTGATAAATATGCTACTGAGACACACCAAACAAAAAAGAATATGTGCGTCGGTGGCATAGTGGTTAGGACTCTCACTGACCATGCATATGGTCCGGGGTTGGATCACCGGCCGACGCACTCCTTTACCTCGCTAAGCCAGAAATAATGCTGGTAAAGAGGAAAGGTTGGGCATGAGGCCACTAGTTTGAGGCTCTATGTTCCAATGGGAACGTGAAGGAAAAAATCTATATTCCACAGCAATTTAAAGTAAGCAGCTCACCTTCAAGTACACTTTAGAAGTATCAACGTGTGTTTTACTGTCTTCCTCAACCATTTTATTCTGTTTTGACTGCAACTTGGTGTGTCACGAAAAGGATTTCCAAAACGTTACTGACTTTTATTAAAAGCTACTTTCACTGGCCCCATACTTAGGACCAAATGGCCAGTTGGCTAGAAAGAATTAGCAACAAGAAACTCTAGCAACAAACCAACCAACAGCCTACTGTTTGGAAAATATGCAGAAGCAAATGTAGATGAATGGGGTAAACGTAGAGGAGGCCTTCGAATGACGTCACGCGCAATGCAGGACATAGCTCGAGTGTAATCCAAATGAGAAGCAACAAGTGGGTCTCTGGTGCGAGAATGACGTGAAGGAGATCGTGTGACGAGGAAGAGGTGAGAGATTATGGCTAATCGTGGGCCCATCTGAAGAGGGGAGCAGAAAATAGAACGAAGTGGAAATGTGTTGTTAAAGCCTTAATTTTCACTCAAAACCTAAGGGAATAATAATAATAATGATAAAGCTTTATTTAAGACAGTATGCGGATATACGGTACAAAAATTTTCAGCGTATTCAGTTCCAAATTACTCTTTTCTTCACACAGGATTCACATATAAAGTAATAATCTGAAGTATATCTTCATTTCATTGAAGAATTGTACAGCGTTTACTTGGGAGCAAGTTAAGTCATCGCGCAATTTTATGTATAGGTCATTTGATATAAATAGACGATTAAAACAATGATAAATCCAGATGAAATTAAGCATTTTGGAGGAAAGTAATTTCGGTAGCCCAATGGTTTAAGCAGGCCGCCATGTATATATTACTGTATTCTGTATTGTTGTTAAATTACTTGATGTACATCATTTTCTGCCGCTACTAGTGTACCAAATAAATATAAGTGTTGTTTATAAGATATCAATCTTTTGTAGTGACCCCATTAAAACTAACGATAAGTTCTTGATGTTTTTAGATTACAGTAATTTCTACTAATTTTCACTAAAATTTACTGCATAAAATCCCATGGGTCTAGCATTTTTTGTCACCAAGCCGATGCTGAAACTACACCATTGCATAGTGGTTATTCACTGCGTAATGTTTTGTCCGAAATATTATTCATTTGAAAGGTGTTTGTCGCCGGAATTTCATCTAAAACTACACATAATTTTACTAGTAATGATTGGCAAACTAAATTTATTCAAAAAACTCTGTTATTTATTAAACTATGCAAACAGTGATCACCCTTTCAACGTTCAGTTAGACCAAACTAATCACTTCATATAAGTTCATTATAAAACTCTCTTTATTTGCCATTCATCCCAGCTATTTACAGAAAGACGAAAAATCTCTTAATTTTAATTCGTAACTGAAGTGATTAGTGCCAAATTTTTAATGTCTATTCTAATAATGTATGTAAACTGTTTACTTAGGCGTCACTTTCTAGCCGCATGTTGTTTTTTTAACAGATAAAAGTGTTCCTTGGTCAACAGATTTTGTAAGTAGGTAAGTAAGTAGATGAACGTGTCCTGACTGACGCAATCACGCATGAATGTAGGCAACTCTAGTGGCTAGATTTTTCTTAATTTCATGTTTGTTTTTTAAGAGTAAGAGTGGCATTTAACGGACTCCAATCCAGTTCGTTTATTTGTGGTAATTTTATTTTAAGTAAACCGTTTCTTTTTTCAACTACAGTTTCTGATATTTATTATTGCGTTATGTAGGAAACTATGCAATGAAAAGGCGCCTATTTTTTATAACCGTATGCTAACGTAATTGTCAGCGTAGATTATGTCTATTATTAGACTTCTTCACACGAATTACATGGCTCTTCACCATTTCGTTTAATTTTTTTTAGGTTTACATTTTGTGTACTCATTTTATCCATAATCAAAAATGAATAAATTTAAATTCTACTACAGTTAAAAACGCAACTGCAAGGACAATATTTTTTTAATTTATCTTTATTATAGCTTGATTCCACATCTTATTTTTGGTACAAGTATGGAATTTTCAGCATGTGATATCGGTAGCTCAAATGTAGCAGGCCGAGCATTGATAACAGGTGTGAGTCGGCAGGGGATCAAACCCCGAACCATGTGCATGGCCTGTGAGAGTCCTAACCCCCGTGCCACCAACGCACAGGGTCTTTAAATAACGGAAAATCAGACTTTATTTAATGATATAGGAAAGAAGCATCAACTGTCGGCTATGATCCCGGTGAGTCGAAACGTTATCGTTCAGTTAGATTTTTGGCATCCAGTTTAAAGGTAGATCAAGATGTAAATGTACCAGTTTTACTTGAAAGAAAAGCTGATTCGAAACGTCTACCGATGCCGATACGAGCACGTTCTACTTCTCCAAATAGTAGTAGTAGCCTGTACAGTTCAACAAATGGGTCATCAATTAAACAAGAATCCAAGAGAATTAGAAGTCAATTTAGGTCCAGTATTCTTACTCGAATTCGTGGTCAAAAACCAGGTGTTTCTGTCAGTATTCAAGAAATACCGACTGAACGTTTTATCCTACCGGATAATTCTCATTCAGCTTCACCTTCGCATGGCTCGCCTAAAACACTTGACAATATGACGGTGACTGTTAAGCCAAGAATTCATAACTTATTCCCTTATTATGTGCCCACAATGTCTACAAATGATGTAGAAGGTATTATTCCACATGTTGATAGTCTTATGAATCCTCAGGCTGCTGCGAACACAACAGTATCAACGCAAATAACAACGACAACTACAGTAACAACTGCAACCACATCAGACCCAAAAACAAATAACACTATTGATCGTGATCAGGTCATCACTGAGAATCAAAATGACGAGGGAAGTCTGTGTCTGAGCACTATTCAACTTGAATCAGATTCTCTAACAAGCAGTGAAATTATAGGGACTTCATCAGAATATAATTCACGCGAAAGGCTACATGCCACTCGAGAATATTATCAGCTAACTTCAGAAGAAGATTTAGAAAGTGACAATTCTTCTAAACAGTTTGATAATGATCATCATGAGAAAAAAGTTAAGGGTGACGATAATGTCGGTAGTGAAATTAAGAAATCAGAAAATGTTGAACACAACACCTTAGATTCAGTAATGAAAAATATAGAGACTAATCATACTGCTGTGATGCTCGACACGGAACAGCGATCTATTAAAGAGAATATTTAAAGGAAAAAATAGTTTCCTTTCGTCGCTTGTTAGGGCGATAAAAGCACCGGCTCATTGCGTTCATAATTATTATTGCTGTTTATTTTCATTGTCTTCTGTTTTCTTTCCTGTTGTTATTTTTTACACTTCTATAATTCCCTCAAACAATAAAAAATAATCATCTAGTTTTATATAAGTGTTTATCTCAATGTACCAGTGTGCGTGCGCGTGCTTGTGGTGTATAGGTGTTCGTCCGTGTACATACACGCGTCGGTGGCACAGTGGTTAGGACTCTCGCCGACCATGCATATGGTTCGAAGTTCGAGCCCACGCCGACGCAAACCTTGATATCTATGGTCAGCCTGCGAAATTTGGGCTACCGATATCCATGCTTGTACCAAAAATACGGTGTGGAATCAAGCTGTAATCAAAAAAAATAAAAATAAATAAATAAAAAATTCGATTTCCTCCTTATTTACTTAGAAAAACACCAGCTGTACCAGCAATATGTAACTTGGATTATACATCACCATGAACCAATAATAAATCTTTCTGGAGTCCACATTTACAGCGTCAATAATAAATGAAAGGAAATTGTCTGAATATGTTGTATCAAGCAGTTTTCAATTATTTAAACTGAGCCACCTCAAATGATGGAAATGATAGTCAATCAATTTCACCTGATATACATAATGATAGATTATATATTATTATTATTATTCCTTCGGGTTCCTAGTGGAGCATAAGGCTTCAAAAGCACATCTTCACTTCATTCTGTTCCCTGAGGTCGTTTTCAACTGGCTCCACAATTGCCTATAGCCTTTCATCTCCTCCTAGCACGATCTCCCCAGTGTCATACTTGGATCAAGCTCATCTCGTCGCACAGTACTGTTGTGGTGAGAGCTGGCTGCTAGCCAGATTGGTAAACAGTAATTTACGTCAACGTTTACGTCCCCAATATTGCTCCTGACAAAAATGAGAACAAAGACTGATTCAACAACCAACCAGAGAAGACTTTGCGTAGGCGGATACAGTTAACATATAGATGATCTGACATTCAAGAAACAGCCACAAAGAGATGAAATATTATTTTTCAGTGAGAAACAACCAATCAGAAGACTGTGTTTTCCTGCCAAAATTAATCTATAATAATGTACATGAAAATCTACAAATATGTGTTGATTTCCCTAATAAAGGATCCGTTGCCTGGCCCTTGTCTTCTGTTGTTACACTGTTACAGTTTTACATTTTACTAGAGACTTCAACAATTTTTTGGATCGGTATGAAGAAAGGATCAAAAGTGAGCTACCAGGCACATTGAACAAGCAACCGTCAACTCATATGGATCCGGATGTCGTGACGTAAAGATCACAGCACATTCTCGTGTGATAGCAGCTCGTAGTTTTAGATCTTCATGGGGAATACACACAGCGTTTAACTAGAATCATCAGTGATATATCCACTTCATTATATACACCTCGAATGAGGACAAAACTGAAAACTAAGACCAGGTTGCCAATCCTTGTCTTATTGTGGACTCATACATTCTAGAAAGGGTTCAAAGGAAAGCAATACGTATGATTTATGGTGTGACCAATTTATCATATGACGAGAGACCAAACAGTTTGAATTCCCCCCCCCCTATCATATTCCAGACACAGAGAAGACCTCATAACAATGTTTAAAATTCTAAATAATGACTGCCGATCTAATCTACTTCTTCCTTTCCTTCTCACCAGGTCGAAATACCTCAGAGAAGGTACTGCCAGCTTACTGGCAGTACCGGTTCTTACACCAAATCATAAACTCCTCGAACTGACTCTCAGAATAAATAGTATCAGCGCCATGAACTAATTTATCCAAGAAGGGTTTGAATAAGCACATAAATTTAACAGGAAATGATAAACATGGGCTTCAAGCTTTCTATCCTCAATGAATAAGTTTGAAATGAAAAAGTACAAAAATTATTCACTGTCCAGGTACTAAATATTTCCATTCCCTGTTACTGGTCTATTCAACAGCTTTTCCAACTTTTAAATAAAACGTTAAATCTGTCCTAATTCAAGAATACATCAAACAGCTACTAATTCTTAAGTATGAAAACACAATATTTATATGACGATGCATTAAAGATAAAGAAAGAAATCTGAAATAATACCACAATAAAAGTTTATTGTGCGTCAGTGGCACAGGGGTTAGGACGCTCGCCTACCATGTACATGGTCCGCAGTTCAGTCCCCGGCTGACGCACGCCTGATATCAATGATCGGTCTGCAAAATTTAGGCTACCGATATCACATGCTGAAAAACTCCATACTTTAACCAAAATAATGTGTGGAATCAATCTATAATAAAATATAAATGTAATATGAAAATTTTTGATTCTCAAGAGTTCATTGATCCTTCCTTTTCCTAAAATGTAAACAGTCACTTAAAAATTTGAAGTAATTATGTGCTTCATTTGTCAGTTTCTCCATCATTGGTTGAAGAAACTAATATTCACATGATGTAGTAAGCACTTAGATTAAAATGCCAGACTATTGACTTCTCCGTTAGGCATAAACGAGATCTACAAACACCAGTAAGCACTCATGAAGCCTGTAGCACTGAGGGGACTAAACTTGAAACTAAGTCTAATGCAAAATACCTCGGACTGGTTCTATCTTCCGACCTTACTTGGTCATCTCATATCCAAACGATTTCTAAGAAAGCGTTCCGTCTAACCTACTACATTAAGAAACTCAGACTATCTGGAATCACCCAACCTCTACTTTCACAATTTGTCAACTCTCGTATCCTACCTATTCTACTTTACTGCTCCCCATTAGTCTTTCCTGGGTTACTGAAAAAGGACTCTACCATCCTGAGAAGGATGTTGAAGGTAGTCAGTAGGACTAGTGGTGTAAAACTCAGTCAACTCGTCACTACATTAGTAGATAAGAATCTGAATACATACGAAAAATGGTCGAAAACCATACTCTCCGACCCCCAACACCCCCTCTATTCCCGACTCTCCCTTTACATCTCATCAGGTAGAACCAGAAATCAGTACAAAACAATATATGCTCGTACAACCAAGTTTAGGATACTATATTTGACCCGTGTTCTAAGTGACAGAGACAATGTTAAGCGCGAAACCTAGACTTGCTTCGTTGTTGATAACATAATTTTAGGCTCATTAATTTCTCTCTTATTTGTATTCTATAGTGAACAACCTTCTTAAACATACTTAGCTACCTAAAATTATTATCATTGGCTTACTTTTTTATTCTTTATTCTATTCCTTCTTTTGTGTAACTACTGGTCCCGACTATATTATCACCATGAATATTACAAAATTGTCCTGTTACTTACCATCATGTAATATTAGTTTTGTGATTGCTATTTTGTTCGGCAATACTAAACTGACAATCTTGGTTGTGAACGCCACCATCACCATCCTAAAAATTTTGGATTATGCATGATTACTCACACTACCACAACAAACAGTGAATTAGTGCTGACAATAAAAAAACCTGAAATGTTTAAACGTGGTCTAGTCAAAATTTTGTACTATAGAGCGAGGAGAATATGCTCTACAGAGAAACTAGATGAGGAGTTTGAGTTCCTTGAAAAGATATTGAAGAGAAATGGGTATCCTCAAAGGTTCATCAACAAGTATGGAAGATCTGAAGTCACAAAAGTAAAACAAATCACAGTGGGTAAAAAGCCAGTCTACCTTCAGCTTGATTATAAAGGTGAAAACATTGCAGCGATGATCAACAGAAGGCTGAGTGCATCACTAGCCATAGCCTATCCTGCAGCCAAGCTCGTTCCCGTCTATCGAACAACTTGCTCTTTGGTGCAATCAAAAATCGATAGATATCCTTCTCATGTTACCTCCAACTGTATATACAAATTTACATGTATCTGCGGGAGCATTTACATTAGAAGGACAGAAAGAAGGGCATATCTACGATTTTCTGAACATGTACCAAAAAGCTTACGTCTAAAGGGAACAAATGCTTTAAACAGTGCCATCACCAGGCATCTCCTCGACACGGGTCATGAGGTGGACGTCGAAAAGTCGTTCAAAATTATCAATAGGCAAAATAGCTCAATTCTCCTTAAGTTTGCTGAAGCCATTTCTATCAAACGCTTGAAACCTGATTTATGCGTCCAGAAAGAAGCGGTTATCAGTCATTCTTTGCCCTGGTAACTGGATATTTTCACCTCTATTTCTTCCGAATGTGAAATGCTAAAAGTTTCCATTGTGTTTGATTATTATTGTTCGGAATAGTGGTTAATATTGCATATTTATATATGTATATATTTTTAGTGTATGAGTATATTGATCGATTGATTTTTGTTTAAACTTAACTCTGTGCAAGTATGTTAAAGTTGTTGTTGTAGATATATTTAATAATGTCTTTGCCATGTAAGCAGCTGACGAGAAGGCAACGAAATAAAAGATGGTACCATTTTATTCTGCTAAAACTGTAGTTCTTGCTTTGTTCAAATTCATTAAGGGGAATAAATGTATGATTGTTTAGTGTTGTTCAATCAAATTAACTGATCATCTTGGCTATAAACATTATTAAGAACATCTCATAACTTCTTGTATGATTATAGCTGTTACTGTTCACCACGCATACACATATCATAGCTTCCACTACTAAAAACTGAAATATTATTCAATATTGGTGTTTATCTTCCTTTCTACCTGGTATTTTTATTACTTTCATACATTTATTCCCCTTAATGAATTTGAACAAAGCAAAAACTACAGTTTTAGCAGAATAATGTGGTTCCATCATTTATTTCGTTGGCTTCTCATCAGCTGCTTACAGCCTAAATAAATTATGAGGTTTAAGTACAGACATGTTTTAACATACTTGCAAATTTTACATGTTGTCAGTTGACAGAAAATTCCACAATTTGTAAACAGTGCTCAGAAGATTGCGCTTATATAGTTTTCACACAGGCAGTTCAAGTTAAAACAAATTAAATGTATGCAGAAAATGGTAAAGGAGTTACGTAAT